GGTATTGTAAGCAGTAGAGTAGCCTTAGTGCTACGATCTGCTGAGATTAAGCCCTTGTCCTAAAGATTTGTTTTTTTTCCTTTACGCGTAATTGGCAGGTTTCAGATGATATTACCGTAGGAGCATAAAATATAATTTTTTTTAAAAAAATTCGTCGTCCCATCTAGATGATAATTATTTTAAAAAAATTCTGTGATTCTTATTAATAATGGATTTACCACTTGATTTCAAAGAATTTGGTAAGTTTAGCGCATACAAAATTTGATTCATTACAAATATTGCTAACATTGCTATTTTGCTAGATTTATTAATGAAAATATTAATAATACCATTGTGTAAATTCATCTATTGCGAAGTGAGTATAACCTAATTTTTTTTTTTTGTAAAAAATAAATTTATTTAGGGAAAGAACTTGAAAAAGTCCATAGCTCTATTCAAAATTGTTCATTTTCTTTTCGATTTAACAATAATAAATACTGTTCCATTTTATTTAAGGTAAGTTTTACACGTAACTTTAAGAAATTATCCAATTTTAAAGATCTCCCTTTATAAACAATTCTCTTTTTATTCTAGTCTTTTAATATTAGCAGTTAATGGTTTGTTTGTATTTAGAGTAATATGAAATTATATCCAGATTTTCTTATCTTTGATTCTAAAGCAATATCTGAAGCTATAAGAATCAATATTATTTTTAAATTTATTCAATTAGTAAGTAAATAATAATCATATGCGAATGCAAATTCAAAATGAGCTTCTAAAACTCATTAATTTTTCTTCTTTACCAGATCCTACTATATATCACGACTACAGAAATGAATATTTTTTTGGTAATTTTAATAATTATAAAATACATAAATTTATTATTTGATGGAATCATGGAAATTTATGCTGCTTAGCGTAACATTTGATACAACATTTATTAGTTTTTATTTGCCATATTAACTTATATCAATTAATTCAATACTATTATTACATATAAATAAAAAAAAATTTTTTTTTTTCACGGAGGGAGGAAACCTTAAAAAACCCCACTTTTTTTTTGAGTTTTGGACTTATTTTATTAAAAAAAAAAATTCATATTATAGCATATAAAGTTAATTTATCTTTTTTGTCCTTTCTACTGCAATTCTCGAAGTTTGACGCAGTATCACAAAAATCGAAACAAATATTAAGTTTCTTTCGTAGGCATTATTTTTCGTTTTGTGTGATGATTAAGATGAGAAGTTTACGCATCGAAAGCTGCGCCCCATAGATCCGTCCAATCGTTAAATATTTTGTATTCGCCATTATTATTGTTTTTTTTTTGATTAATTTGCCTTTAAAAAATTTTTTTTCCAAATTTATTCCTCTAAAACCAGAACATAAATAAATTGTATATATAAAACAACGCAAGTATATTTTTACAACATTAAACAGGTCGTTAAAAGATTTTTTTTTAACAATATCATGATTGTGGGTAGTCTTGATTTAATATCACATAAATACTAGGGAATACAAATTTAAAAAATTTTAATTATGAACTTAGTAGATTATTAAAATTTATTTTAATTTATAAAAAAAAATTTTATTTTATTTTTTTTTTATTTACCATTTTATAATGAAAATTTAACAACTTTAAATTTAATTATTTAATAAAACAAATTTATTAAATAAATTTATATTAAAAAAGTTTCTATGCGATATGTTCTAATTAACTTTTTTTATTCACGTCTCCTATAAATTAAATTTAATTTAATTAAAAATAATGAATTAAATAAAATATCATCACATAACTTGACATACCTTGGTGCACAACGAATAATATCATCAACACGTAATATCATTTCTGCAGCTTCTGATGCACTAATTAAAACTTGTTGTTTAAGTTTAAATGATTCTGTGACACCAATTTCACGCATATCTCCAATATTGTTATTGATCATATCTATTAAATATCAAAGTTAGCAATAATATATGAAAATGTGTCTTAAATTTACAACGGATAAACATACCTAAACCATATGTTGATTTTCCTTCATAATGAGCAGCACGTAACCTGGAGACTAAATCCGCACTGTCATAACCAGCGTTATCAGCTAAAATAGTAGGAATCTAATTTTTATAAAAAAAAATTAATCGGAATTTTTTTTTTTGCTGTTTTTTTTTTTAAAACAAAAAAATGATAGTACTTGTCTAAGAGCCTTTGCAAAAGATTCAATTGCAATAGCTTTTTTGCCAGCAGTAGTCGCTGCTATTTCATCAACTGCTTTGGACATTAGCATTTCTGAACAACCTCCGCCAAGCACTGTACGTGTTTCCTTTACTGTTTGAGTTAACACACTTAATGCATCATGCAGTGAACGTTCAGCTTCATCTAACAACTGATTTGTAGCACCACGCAATACAATTGTGCAAGCTTCACCAGCGGCTACCCCGGAGAATTTAATTAACTATAGATCATTAAAATGATTAGTTGTGTAATAAATAATGCAAGAGAATTCAAAGTTGTTAAACTAAAAAAACCTTGTCTTCGCCAATTATGATCTCTTCAATAAGGTCGCAATGTCCAAGTTTTACAAGCTCAGGATGGTCAAATGTTGAAGCAATTTCACCACCTACATAAAGAATCATATTGTAAGATAGATCCTTAAGAATATTCCAAGATTGAACTTTGTCAAAATACTTACCGGTAACTAAAGCTAACCGTTCAACACCGTCAAAATCCGCATGTTCAATTGACATGATACCAGAATCAGCAAAAAGTTGTTCGGGCCAGTTATAGATCAGTTGACGATTGACAAAGCAATTTATGCCATGTGCCTTGATCTTTTCAACCTTTTCCTTCATTTTGTCCTTTAATTAAAAATAACTTCCTTTAACATTTGTTATTCAAGATAATGGATAAGTTCATATAAACATACACGTTCGGCTCTTTCCAATTCTGCTAATTTTCCAGTAGCATCAACACGAACACGTGCTCCAAAGATTTTGATTTTATCTGTATCCATTGCTATTATTTTCAGAGTATAAACATTTGAATAAACTCCTTTGAAAAATGTTATATTAAATTATAAAGAATTATACAAACGTGTATTTGCAACCAAAATTTTGACATTTTCGATCCTCTTTGGTTGATTTACACCAATCTTTTTATCCAAAATAAATCCTACAAAATATAAATTATTAAGCATAAAACTTCATCGTCAAATAAAAATAATAATCATTCATACAAACCTTCATCGAGATAGGAATCAATAAGTCTACTGCCGACTTTTTTAATTATTTGAATGTGCTCAAGATCTGTACTTCCCTAAGTAATATAAAAACATGAATACAAATATTTTTTAACATGCAAAAAAATTTTTAATTTACCTTAAGTCTTAGAACAGCGTCAACAGCAAGATTAGCGAAATAATCTTTATCTTGTGATAAAACTTTAGAACTTAAAGTTGTTCGAGCAATATTTATTAAATCCTTGCGAAAAGCTTCCGGTTTAGATCTAGAAACAATAAATTAGCGAAATTGATAAAAAACATTAATACAAGTCATATCTATTTAAAAGTACCCATTATCAACAGCGGAGCTTTCTAAAGCTTTAAACGCTGCAGCACTAGCAGCACGATAACCCTCAATAATAGTCTGGGGATGAATTTTTTGATTCACGAGCTTTTCGGCTTCTCGCAATAATTCCGCTGCAAGTACGCAAACAGATGTTGTCCCATCACCAACTTCATCGTCTTGTACTTTAGATATATCTATAAATTGAATAGTTAAGGAAAATACAATAAAAATATTGTGTATGTTTTATAATTATAGGTTCATAACTAATTCTATATACATATACAGATCGGAATAGTTATTCAACATAATATATCAAGGATACTAACTAAAACCTTAGCAGCAGCGTTATCTAGGGCAATATTCTTAAGGATTGTAGCACCATCATTCGTTACCATTATGTCGCCTTTAGAAATCGATTGCAGGATCTTATCCTATATTAAAAAATATAATAAGCAAACACGTATGTGATAACAAAACCAAGACAGGTAGACTTATTCATACCATTCCTTTAGGTCCCAATGTACTCTTTACCAGATCACCAACGGCAATCGCTCCAATAAAAGAAGACTAAATAATTAATAATAATTATAAATTACAATTAGTTTTAATCATAAAATAGATAACTTACCAAGCGCGCGTTCTCAGCACGCTCTTCTGTTGCTTCATCCTGAAAAATTTGTACTGGCGCTAAAGACTACATAATGAATGAATTAAAATCTCTATCAAAATTTCATTTGAAAAAAATGATAAGAAACAACAATTCAATGCAAACCATGGTCTAAAAGTTGCAAAAAGATTTAGATTGAAATTTGATGATTCAGCTTTTGCTATTGAATAAGTTGCGGAAAGATCGAACCAATCCGAACTGCAGGAAAAAATTTTTAAATCACGTGACAAAATAGATTTAAAAAAAGGGGTTCCTTAACCTGTACCCTGGGTGTAGGCCTTTATCCTAGACCCCCCTTTTCTCAAAATATGATTGGTTTA